GTGAGTGAGTGAGTGAGTGCAGGATGAAGACGACGTTCTGTTGTGCGTTGTATGTCGCTTACTCGGGTTGTTCATGCAGGACATCATCAACAGTAACGTCAAGCGGGTCGTCTCCATCAAGCTCTTCCATCAGCCGCTCCAGCCAAGAAGAACGATTGAGGAGGGAGATTGCCTGGACACCCGTGAGGGAAGGCTATAGCTGATAGTTCATGTGACCTTTTCATGCACATAACCGCGACGTACAGAGACTTCGTGCTCTATTGTATAGATGCCAGTGTCTATGGTAGACGAACAAATCGTGTCTTTTTCGAACGTGAATGCAGTGCAGTCACCACGACCAGCGTTGCTTTGTCTCCTCCTCCTGTGTCAAAACTCTAGCGCAGCCAGCCGTCATCTGAAAGGATGGGAGAAGCCGCAGCCCTCGAGCTCCCCTTCGAAGTCGATGTGTGTGACGTGGTGCATTCTTTGGTCAGGAGGGGAGTATCCACCGACATGAAGTTAACATGGGGCGGCGAGATCCCATCGAGTGGAAACGGTCACATGGATGGGACGTTTCTCTGGCTTCCTTTGTGCAGGTGCGTCGTTTCTTGACGGCACTCAGGAGATCCAGGCCACTAAGCACACGACTGCGGCCGCCAACCAGCATGGTGCAGCAGACGAACACAATCAATGCATCGGTCTCTCTCGAGCGATTAATGAGAGAGACAGGGAGCCGTCATCGGGCTGTGTGCCTGCCATCCGGTGTCTCGATCATACACCTGTCCCGACACCACTTTGTACACTCGAAGGGGTGACGGAATCACGGCTGGCTGCTTGGTTCCGTCATTTTGTCAATCCCGTGTGCATGAATGAAAAATCTTGACAAATTTTGACTTTTCAGCCACCCCAAGCGCCCGCGGGCCCGCACGCACATGCGCACAGAGATACAAAACGGAACACGCACAGTGCATCCATGTAAGCAGTCCCCTCCCTGTATGTCATTCGTGTCGCGAGCAGGCTGGATCCTTTCCTGCAGCCCCTCTTGTAAGTGAGCGGCCAGACCCCGACAAATTCGCACTGAGACACATAGATATGATTGGCCACGTATCTAGGATGGTAGAGGTGAGGCGGCAAGTGAAGCGCTGGGCCAGGCCGGTGTGCTGGTGAGCGGTTGACAGACAGAGACTGAGAGTGATGTGGGTGAACGGATGGGTGGATGGATGGTGTGAGATGGCGGACTCATCCACTGACTGACTGACCTGTGGGGTGTTTTTCATTGTGAATATTCACACTACCACATAAACGTGGGCACAGCTGCAGACGGACATGGTCTGCATTGCAATCATACAGAGACACCCGCAACGAGAACACGCATCGACCTGGCAACGAAAAAATGCTGATAGCATTGGACCTACTTGCTTGCTAACCTTCTCGCGGGAAGCACACACTTGAACACGCAGCAAAGCATTCACCTGAGCTCAGCGGCACCCGGACCACTTCACACACACACACACACACACACACACATGCAGCACATGAGGCACCCACAACAACCTGATCTTGCACACATGGACAAACGCTACCGAGACAGAGACCCCTTCCCTCAGGCTCCCACGTTGCCCTTCTTGCCACCGGTGTCACCGCACTCGGCTGTGTGCACACCACCGCTCGCCCCGAGCTGCTTGCCGTCCTTCCCCATGGCAATCGCCCGGTACACCATGCAACGGCCGCCAGGCGTCAAGGCCGTCTTGTTCAGAGCGACCGAGTGCTCGAATCTGGTCCGCTTGTGTTTCGTCACTCGGGTGAATGGCTTGCCGGGCCCCTATGCCGCCTCGATGCGCCACGCAGCCACGTCGGTGGAGCCGTTCCAGCTGTAGTAGAGCACCTGGTCGATGAGCAGCAGCATCGGGCGCCAGTGCGGTGTGACGTTCCGCCACTCGTATTTCCTCGCCCTGTACGAGTTGGCGCCGCTCATCCAGTCGAACGATAGCAGCAGCTCGCCGTCGACAGAGACCTCCTCGACAACAGGCAGGTGGCCGGTGTAGTGCATCCCCCCCCAGCCGATGACGCCGGTGCCCTTGTCGGTCTTCTGAAAGCTCCCGTGGCACCGCGAGACATAGCGGTACTTGAGGCTGCCATCAGCACGTCTGGCGCCGCTGTAGGAGAAGACCCTTTCGGCAATTGACTTCTGCTGATCAAGCCGGTA